TACAGACTTGCATAGCAAAATATGCTAAATTAAAATGTCTTCCCATAATAAACATACACTTGCCATCCCCATTTTTAGTATAAACAGAGAGACGGAAAGTGGTTTCAAGAATCTTTCTCACACTGTGTTCAGTGTGTTTGTATACAGCTTTTCATGTGTTCACTCTGTTGTGCTACTTTTTGTGCTTCTTTTAAAGTTTCTTCTAGGTTTGGGTTTCTTGAGTCAAAGTAGGGCATCCTCCGCTTTTAGAACATCAGAAGGTAGACACTGTTGGCCGAGGCTATAAACGCTACATCCTGACCTATAGAAATGGCATAAGTGGTGGTTGTTTGTATCCTGCGAGAGTTTTAGTTCTAAAAATGGCATGATGTGTCTGTTATAGATCTATGCAGGTTCACTGCCATCTTCGTATGTTCTAAAGGAAGTGGCAGAGCTGTCAAGTTTTGTAATTTTGTGATAGTTTCGTGTGAGAACATTTTGCCCTTGGCTAGTGTCTCTTGATCAGTTTCAAATTTTGCAGTTTAAGTTGATTAATGTGTTGAAACAGTCAGTCCCTCTTTATTTTTGTCGGTCAATGCAGACCAATTTAATAATACATTTTATTTAAGTTTATTGAATAAAAAAAGTATTAGATTTTAGTAAAAATTAAGACAATCCACAAAATGATGCTTAACTAACCCCCTTTTCTCCCCAGAAGAGGTTATCTTGCAGAATTGTCAGGGATCTACCCTTAGACATATTTCTTGTTTTAGTGTTAAATTGCAACTGTACTGCAAGGTTCAACATAACATTTGCCTCTTAAGCCACTGCTAACAGGGAAACCTCTCCACCACATACTGTACAGCTCATCACCAAGCATGCAGCTGTGGATTTTAAACAACCCAACCCAGAGGTGTCTGGTCACATTCTGCCTCTCTACAATGTGATGCCCTGGCTAAAATACAAACAAAGGAAATATTTTTCACCTGGATTACAGTCTGGCTCTCTTCTTTTGCCAGATTGTCGATCAACCCATAAAATGTCGCAAGAACGTAAAACCGCTAGCTTCCATTTTTCCAATACATGTCGGAATAACAGATCCCCTTAACCCCAAAAATGTAAAGACTTCATTTCTTAGTTGATTCATTCAATCTTCAGAGCAGTTAATGCAATCAGATGGAATATTCTGCTCTAAATACTGAGCTCTGGAGCTGCTCTCCAGCTGTTGCTTATCCCAAGGTAAAAAAAGAAAAAAAAAAATGGGACAAATCAACCCATAATCCCTCCTCAGTCCCTGCATTGTTCTTGGAATAATGCTACGCTGAAAAAAAAATTTAACCTGCAGCATCTGCTGAATCGTCCCCTCTACAAACTCCTGTTAGACTACTAGAGTTTACTGATGCATCTAAACATTTCAGAGATTTCAAGATACTTCATTATTTTTTGATACTTGCTTCTATTGGCTTATGTTGTGAAAAGTCAAATATAACGTTTTAGCAAGAAAACCGTTCTTAAACTGCTTTTAAAAAAATTTCACATCTAAAAAAAAATATATATATATATAT